GGGTGGCTGAGATGATGCCTTGATTTTCCTCCACACAGAAGGAGCCCCAAAGCATCTCCTGGTGAGATGTGACCCTGAGCAGCTCCTGCTCCGTGAGCTGTGCACCAGCCCCAGCAGCTCTGCCTCTGCCGCTGGATTTGTCACACTTGCTGGGATTTGTTAGGCAAAATCATTCATGGCATAAACTCTGAGTACTCTCTGATTTGATAATTTGACATGACTGTTGATCTTGTTTCATGCGTTGTCTTCTTAGATTTGTCAGGCTGGAAAAATAGGAAAAAAGCCTGAGACAGCTTAAGAATTGACAAGTGAACCAATCTGTGCCCTCTTTGCATGTTCATCTGCTTCATGCACTTAATGGGATTTTTTTTTCTATTTTTAAAATTTTTAACTTGACTTTGTCAAACAAATGCACAATTATGTCTCTGTACTCAGAAGTCTGGTTTGGTGTGGGTGGTTTGTTTTTGTTTTTTTGTTTTCCCCAGTGGGTAATAGACAAAAGAAATTCACTGCTTTGTAGCAAATAAATTACCTTTCTGGTACCAGCATTTACTGTACAAATACAGTTGTATATCACAGAGAATAAAAGCACACAATAACTGATAGGCTATTTGATCCAGAACCAATAATAAACCCTAAAGAAATCACCAAAACAGTCACAAAACCTCACTCAACTGGAACTTCTCTTTACTCACTCAAACTTTTGCCCCAGCTTTCACCAAATGATTGGCCCAAAGGAAAGCTCTGGAGAAAGAAAGCTTTGTTTACAAGCAAGAGAACCGAGCTTAGCATGACATAAACTATGGGTGGGGCTTAGGGTGAATTTTTTAAAGAAATGGGATGATTTACTTGTGAAATTTTGTAATCTGCTTCTACATAGTTTTTAAAAACTCAGCTCAAATAGGCCAAATAACGCTGTTAAATGTCTGTTAAATATAATTCATTATGATGAAATTTCTTATTTCTAAGACTTATTTCAGATTTGGCAGAGTATATCTGTATATCCAGCATAAGGTCACAACAGGGACTGTGACACCGCCCTCACCTCAGAGGTGCAGGGCTGGAATCACCAAATCTGCTCTATGAAATGCAGCTGAACTCCTTGGCTCCCAGAAGAACCCTATCAACTCCCACTGGCACTATTTGCAGCAGAATTTGATGAAGTGAATTTTGGAATTGAAGCTGGTGCAGAAAGCCAGGGCAGCCCCTGCCTCCTGCAGGAGGGATGAATCCCCCAGCCCTGATTTGGGAGTGCTGGAAAATCACAATTGGGCACTGCAAACTCCATCAGCCACTGGGGCTGGGGCTGGCTGAGGGGGGAAATAGAACTTCACAAGTCTGGGGTAAATAGTTCATTAATTTTAAAAAGGAGGAGCCAGGTGACTTGCCCAGGAAAGGAGGTTTGGAATGTTCCAGTCGAGTGCTGAGAATTCCTGGTGCAGTATTTTGCCTAGGAAATGAGATTTGGAATGTTCCAGCTCAGTGCTAGGAATTCCTGGTGCGGTATTTTGCCCCTGTGCTCTCCCATGAACATCATGGTTTCACCCAGTCCCTGGGGCCTGCAGCTCGTTCTGATCAGAAAACTGTTTTACTTGTGCTGCACTTAGGAGCTCTTATGTGAGAACAATAAATTAAAGGGCTGGCGTGGCCTCGGGCACGGATTTGAAACAAGTTTATGGGAACATAAAAGGAAGAAAGGAAAACCTGCTCTTTATGATTATTTACAGCACCATTGGGAAGCTCCATTCCAGGGATTTCTGTTTGAAAAGCACCTTTCATGTTCTGCAGAATTATCTCCTGGCTTCTCAGCAGGTGAGGGGCTGAGAGTAAGAGCTCTGTAACCATTTACTCAGCTCTATTTGATAAAGAGCTGGTGAATCAGGCCAGACAGATCTGACAATCTGCTCACTTCTCCCGTTTAAGGGGGAAAGTGTCTAATAGCTGAAACTTTTAGTTGCCAAGAGCTTTACTTGGGTGCCAGTTTATATAAAGTGAAGACTAAGTGCATTGAAACTGGAAAAGATGTGTTAATGCTGGCTCACCACCTGATTTGGCCAAGACCTGTCAGAGACCAACATGCCTGAAATTTAAGGGAGAAAACTGAATTAACTTTAGTAATAAACAGGAGGATTTAGGGAAGGTCTTGAGTAACTCACTTGGTTATACTCCATATGTAAAAGTAGATAGGAGTCACCATAAAATTAGTTTAATTCAGAATATTTCAATTCTCAAACAATTCGTTTTTAAGAGGAATATTGTGCTATAATCTTTCAGGTCTTGGAAAATATAGGAGTGATCCCTATAAAAATTAATCATCATTCTGTTTCAGTCACAACTATTTGTTATATTTCTTGAATGAATGCCAAAGATTTATGGGAGTTATTAAAAGTTAACTCAGTCATTCAAATCAAAAGTGATCAAATTATTCAGCCTAAAATAGAAACTTTTAAAAATTTAAGATTTGGAGTCCATGATGAGATTACAAATGCACTGCCCTGCATTTCAATGGCATATAAGTTTTAAATAAAGTCAATATTGTAAAAAAACCGAATATTAAATTCAATGCTAATTAAAGCCATAAACAGGTTATGTGTGGTGTGGTAGGAGATGAAGCACTTCTGGGAAATAAGGCCTTTAACAAGCTTGGAGTAGCAAGCTAGAGATGAGCTCATCAAGTTCATGATTAATTCATTTCTGAGAACACGGCTCTGCCCGTGTAAGAGCTGACAAACAGCACGAGCGTGAATCCTGCAAACCTGAGTAACACAGCAGGCAAAACTCAGCCCCAGCTCAGTGCCTGGCTCTGCCACAGAATAATCCAGCCCCACCCACTGGGGTCCAGCTCTTCCTTCAGCAATGTGGGGTTAAAGGCACAGGAAAATATTCCAGAGTGGAAAAAAAAAAATAAATAGTGAATCTGGGGTGAGAAACTCTAAAAGGAGCTGTTAAAATAAAAGTGGTTGAAGAAAGGATAAAATTCCTCTCATAGTGAATGAGGAATGTTTGTCACCATGCCAGACTCCCTCACTTTTCAGCATGAGGATTCTCCCCTTCCATCAGCAGGGAAAATCCAGCTAAATTCTGTGCTGCAAACTGGAGTGAGAGATACCACGTAAAATATTTGCTCTATTTCCTCACATTATGGGGCTAGCAGTTTGCTGGGAAGAGAGAGATTTGTGGAATCGGTACTTTAAACACATTTTTCGTCTATGAATCTTGTTCCTCATTTCAAATTTCACTCAGATCTCTGGGAGAAGGAATTCCAGGAAAACTGTAAGAGCTGCAGGGGTGCCCAGGGATGTCAGAGGTAGCAGAGTTATCCATCATTGGGTGAGGAGTGAATCCCAATTGCTCTGCAGGGACAGAATTGCTGAAGGGAAAATACTGCACAAAACACTTCAAGTGGAAGCTCACCCTTTGCCTTCTTTCCAAAAAATCAGGGAAAAGGCTCTTGTAAATTCCAAAGTCAATGATGTTTAGGATGGTGTGGTATGGAAGGACACGCTGGCACCTTCCCAGCTGCTCCTGTGCTCCAAGGCCCCATTGCAGCCTCCTGGGCTCCCCATGGAAAAATCAATGGATGTTGTAAAAGCAGCTCATTGAATGTGTGTCAAGACTTCCTGCTTTTCCTTGAGAACATTTTATGTATAATTTATAGATATGATCAATGGCACTTCAACAAACGAGAGCTACCCCAGCAGCTGAAATCAAGGGAGACCAGGCAGAGTTAAACCAGCAAAACATCCTCACTTCAACAAACCTGAACCACCCCACAGAACTCAGCAATGGAACATTAACAACCTTCAAAAAATATTTTCCAGCAAACTTAAACCCTGAATGCATCCCACTGCTGATAAGTGAGGCTCATCCCCCTCCTCAGAGCAGGATGAACAGTTCTCCACAGTTTCACCCCAGCCAGGCTCACAGCCCAATATACCTGAAGAGCCACGTAAGCCACAGAATATAAATGTTAATTCAACAATGGTTTTTAGGCCTTTATATCCCAAAGGAAAAACCCCATCCATATTTGTCTTCCCAAGCTGGCAAACATTAAGAACAACTGTAAGTGAGAACATCTCAAAGTTTCAGTTATCTGTGCCAGGAAAGATTTCAGACTTCCCAGGATGGTGACCTTGTCCCAGGCGTCCTTGTGCTTTCCACCTCAGCTGGGAATAAACAAATTTCTGAGGTAACAGGAGGAGGGAGGACATCTGATCCTGCCTTTGGGATCTGAGGCCCTGTCCCACCTTCCCCCCTGAATCACAAAGGAGAAGCACGGAGCAATTTGGGCTAGAAGAGCTCCCAGGAGGTGCCTGTTCCCACAGCCACCCCCAGCAGGGCCAGCTTTAATGCTGGATCAGGCTGTCCAGTGCCTGGTCCAGTCAGAAGTTTGGAATGTCCCCCCAGCACATCCAAGGACATCTAAAACTCACTGCAACACCAAAAATGGAATTTTGCTTGCCTCTGCTCTGTGTTGGGACAGTGATGTGGTGAATAAAATTAATAACTGCTGATTTTATGTGTTGTTGGGGGTTGTTCTTGGCATTATAAGGGGAATATACATATGTATTTATACATATATATATGTATATACACACACACCCCACCACCTGGGTGTTCTCGGTACGAGCTTTGGTGTGGGTGCACTGTTTAATAAACCACAAACACTGATCTCACTGAGACTTCCAGCTACTTCCAGCCTTTACCTACAAAACAAGGGTGATGAACCTTAAGCCCATCAACAAAAGAAAATTTCTAATGAACACAGATGACACCATCACAAATAATTTTCCTTTGCAGAACTAAGACATGTCGTGGCAGGAAATGCCAGCAAAGTGAGCCACAGAATGTAGTGTATTTACTGAAATTAATGGAAAACTAATTCCTGAGAACACCATGAGCCAGCATCCCGTCAGGCCCCAGGAGGATATTCCTGTCCCAGATGAAATATTGAAGCTAGGATAAAGAACATCCCACAACAAAGGGGACACACAACTCACCTGTTCATCTCTTCAAGGCAGTCGGTTGCGAAGTAGAAACTCTTTATTTTGGGGTGACATGCTTTGAAGGCACTATAAAAAGAGCAGAAAGAATAAAAACCACTTTTTCTTTCAAACATCTTGTCTACAAATACACCAGACTGTCCTGCTCTATCATTCTTCAGGTTTCACAGGCAATTGTCATCTTCAGTCTGAATTTTGGTGCCTAAATTTATCAATGGATTCCCCCGATCTGATTACACCTATGTTTGTGAGCCTCATACTTTGCAAAAATTTCAAAAGCACTTGAATGACTTAAAAATATAAATCCTTTTGATAACCACTGATGTTCTATGTCTAAAAACTCCTTGGGTTAATTTGAAAGTCTTATTGAGTATATTCAAGTACATCTTAGTTTTATTCCTAAGATCAACTAAAGGAATAAATGTTTGATCCCCCCCACCTCTTCTCATGTATTTGATGACAGTTTTATGTTCTACAAAAAGAAATGCAGAGGGCTGCCAAGCTGAGCTAGAAATCAGTGGAATAATAGATAATAATCAGATGGCATAGGTGATTATAGTTCACAGAAATGCTTTTTATTAATGCTTTTATGTGGTCCAATCCCTGAGATCTCCCTCAGCTGAGCAGTTGAAAACTGCAAAGAACAACAATTACAGTTTTTATAATTTTTTGTGAGGGTATAATGAAAAGGAGTTTTGCTATCAAGGAAACCAGAAGGTCCCAGCATTAAAGACTATTAATTTGATTAGCTGGCAAATGCTAAAAAAATGCCACACTATCATTCATAACATTTATGTTAAAATACTGACATTTATATGGTAATTACCAGATGTAAGAATTAGATTAGGAATCATTACACGTGGAATTATGAAGAACCTGTGATGCAATGTTTCCACTATTAATAGCTTAAATGCAAATGAGTGTTTTATTAATTACTATGACTTATTGCAGTTTTCAAAGACAAGATGAAAGCTGAAGAAGCTTCACCTGGGCACAGTGATTTTTTAAATATATATAATTAATACAAATGCATCCAGCAATAGCTTTCCTAACAAAAGCCCTACAGCAGAAATCTGTATTTCTGTGCAGTTTCTTTTTTCATGAGATTAGGGATATCAAGAGCGAGGTTATCTTTGCACGGAGGGTTATCATTAAATATTAAATTCCACAAAAGGAGGCTGTGGAGGTATTTAAGTGTTGTTTTGGCATCAGGACAGTGGTAATTTCCACTGCAGAGCCTCACTGCCCTGGCTGCTGGTACTTTGTAAATAAAAGCAGTGAGTGGCTGTGAAATCCCACACAGGGATCCCTGGTGCCCACTAGATGGCACAGGCTTGTTAATTATCTCTCTTTTGATCATTACATAAATGCAGTTTTAAGTATGCTCTGATCAAATTTATGCTTTCTTTTAACTGATTGGTATGATATGGTTTTAGTGTCAAGAATTCTTATCATTCTTAGTCTTCTTTTTAATCCCTCTATGTCAACTGAGCACCAGCAATTCCCACTGGTTCTCTGCAAACAGCTGTGGGCGACAAAGGTGGGACAGTTTTGTGTGTCTGAATTAGAGCAGTACATGGCACATCTTTAATTACCCAGAGATGAGCAAATACTGTACCTTCAACAGAAATCCCTTACACTACTACATTTTTACACTACTACATCATTCTGTTTTGATGCTCAAAACAGAAAATCATGACTAAACAAACACTCCTGCATTGTTCTGCTGATGGTCTGAGCTCGCTGCAGCATCTGCACCTTGTCCTGCTCCCCTTGCCCAAGCATCTCCAGTGGGATTGGCTCCGATTGGAGAGGATTAGGGGCTGGATCTAAAGATCCTAATCCTCTTGGCTAATCCTGAGACAATATCACATGGTGGAGTTTCTGCTTGTAAATAGGATTATTTTCCTAGACAGGAAATTTAAACACATACAGGCATTTAAATGCCAGTATTGGGGTTTCAGTGTTAATGGGTGGAAGTTATAGTGTGATAAACAGAGTGTAATTTGGCTCCCCTGTGCTCCTGTAATGTGATAAAACCTATGATTAGTGGATCATTTTTGAGTAGAAGGTGTCCCTGCCCATTGTAGGGGTGGAATGGGATGATCTTTAAGGTCCCTTCCATCCCAAACAAGGCTGTGACCCTGGGATTATTGGAATATTTTACATTCTCACAGAACCCTGCCTCAGTTAAGGTTTCACAGAGAGGTGAAATCAGGAGTGTGCAACAGGTCAGGCACTGTCTGCAGGCTCTGCCTCAGCTGTTACAGAACTTGTGAAGGTGCCATAAAGAGCAGGAATTTTGTCAGGGGAAATCAGGGAAATGCTGCAGGTCTGGCTGCTTTGCAAAGAGTTCCCACATGCCAGGTCCCTGCAAACAGCTCTGATTGGTTACTGTGTGAATGTTCCTTGAGATCTTTCTGTCTGATATTGTGATCCTTTCCTGAGACAGTGAACATTACAGCTGCAATCGTGCACTGCGCTGCTGCACATCTGCAGGCTGCAGACAAGAGATCTTTATTGCTATGAAGTGGAGATTCCAGCTCTGTGCAAATTTTGATTTAAATGTGCTGCAGTTCTCTGTCAGGACTGCAAAACACAACAATAAATCCGTCTTCATCTCCCAGCAGTGTCACTAAGATTATTATTAGGGAAGTGATTCGATACATTTCTAGCATTAGGAACTGCAGTCTCCAGGGGAACAATTTGAGATGTATAAATGTGAATAATTTAGAGGAATTAGATCTATATATTTACATTTGGCTTGGTTTGGAGGGCCCAGACTGGCTGCAATAATCAAGATGAGGCACAGTGAGTGCCAGTTTAAAGAATAATCCCTTTCCATCCATTGGCTGCACTCCAGTTAACACAGCCCAGAAGTTTCTTCCCACTGGTGGCTCAAGGGGGCTTTGCTGTCTGCAGACTGTCAAATTCTTTTCAGAAATAATAAAATTATGAAACTGCAGCAACATTTAAGCTGTACCTTCCTGTCTGCCTGTACTACAATGACATTTGTAAAGAGCTCTGACTGCACACTTTCAATATGAAGTGCCAACACTGTGACATATCCTTGATAAATTTAAGACCCAAATTTGCATTAACTAGGCTATGAAAATTTTCACTAGGTGGAAGCTGCTGAAGGTTCAGGCAAGGCACCAGTTGATAAGGATTAATTACACCTGTGGCTCAATTAATCTTTATACTTGGGGATCAGCATCATGATGGGGCATTATAATTATCAGTATCTGTGAAAATAACACAATATTCCTGTCATGCCACAGCACACAAACTCAAATAACTATAATTTCCCCTACTCTGTGATCACTTTTAATCAGGAGGAGGCAGGTGTTGCCTGACAGCAGTGGGAAGGTTTTCAGTGGCAGAGCAGAGAGGCTCCTTTCACAGGGACAAGGCCACTGCCTGTCCAGCTACAGCCTGGAGAGCTGGAGCAGCCTGAGATAATGCCAGGGCCCCTGAAATAATCAGGGTACCTTCATTAAATGCATTACTGAGGCACATCATCAAACCATACCAAATAATGCATTCAATTATCTGTATTCTTGTGAAAGCTTTCTTGAGGCTATTCCATCACTGTGGGCCATGGACATCAGGAGCAGAGCTCCCCCTCCAACAGAACAGTGGGAAAGAGAAACCCAGTAATTATCCCAGTAAGTCTTCACATCCTTTAGTTTCCAAAGGGTTTGAACATTTCACATCAATAGCTGTGAAAATAGCAGAGATCTGAGGGGAAATCCAATCTGAGGTCCAGAATGTTCTTAGTTCTGCACTGGGGAGAGCTGAGGGAAAACTGACACTGTGGTTTTGGCTTTTCTCTGGGATCAGGCAATGGAATGATGCTCACTCCTGGCCTGCAGGACAGCCCAGAACAGGACAGGTAAGAGTTTTCCAGGTGTGCTCACAGGGGCTGTGGGTTGGCCCCCCCTCCCACGTGCTGAATATTCTGAATTTCACTGCACTCACTTCCAGGTAAAACAGTGGCTAAGGTCAGGTGCAGTTCTTATGATGGGGGAAATATATAAATGGTAGTCCATGAAGGAAGAAATCAAACAGAAATTAAGCTCAGGAAAAAAGGGAATATACTATGAACATCTTCATTATACTTTTACCTCTGGACCTGCCTCCTTTTGAAAGGATTCAAAGCCTGGAGGTTCTCAGCTTTCAGTCGTGTGCAAAGTTTCAGTTAATCGGACTTTTCCCTGTGCACACACCCTACAGAAATCCTTCCCTAAGCTGAGTTCTGAGGGATTGTGTTCTCATGCCTTGAGGAAAGCTCTGGAAGCTATTTCTAGCTGTGCACAATGACCTTCTGTTTGATCTTGGTTAATTCACTGAAATCTGTTAAGTGCTTTAGATTCTAACAAAAGGGTATTATTTTTCCTGTATTTTTGTTCAATATCATTATTAATATCTACTCATGGCTCTGAGGTATTTATAGTGCTCAGCTCATGTTTAATTTCTACAGTGATACCCTCAGCTGAAAGGAGAAATAGAAGTGTAAATTGCACTGTCTTGTACTTCTCTGACACAGTAATAATATCCCCAGACAAGAACAGGCAACTGAAGAGGTTTGATTTTCTGATGAGCAGCCTCTATTGTAATTCATACCTTCAATATTTCTATTGTACTGTGCTCACAGTTGTAGGACTTGTTTCCTCAGACCAAAACTGCATTTAATCATTGGGAAAGCAGAGGAAAAACCCAGGATGCTTAGTTAAAAGTAGGAAAGCACACAGAAGACAAATGCAAATAATTCAGGAGATACCAGCAAAGTGCCACTCTCAAAGCATTGGAATTGTTCTGTTAAACCTGTTAATTGCAATCCCAACACTGTTTGGAGCAGTTTCCAATGAATGTCTGTTATTAAATATTCCTTAATTGTACAAAGCTTGTAATGTTTTTTTAGTGGAGTGGAATGTAGCAGTAGCAATATGCACATAAGCAATAATGCAGAGTTCATTTTGCATATGGAACCTAAATATTTTAGCAGCTGAGAGCAACACAATATTGGGTATGAAAAGCTTCCCCCATAAAAGAGAAAATTAAGATTATATTCACCATTCCCTGCTATGATATTTGTTATGCTATTTCCTATGGGAAAATACTGCCTCACTGAACCTGAAAAAGTTTTATCTCTTTACTAAAGTATTCATTGCTTTTTGATTTACTTATTTAGCTGAAGCTGTAACTGGACTATCTGGCATGCTGGCTAAAGAATTATTCAATTCATTTTAATCCAGTAAATGGAATTTACATTACATTGCATCTTTTAAAATAAAGAGAAATACTAAAACTTAAGTGGATCTATGATGTTATATTTACAGTGTTCAAGGTTTTTTTTCTTTGTAACTTCTTTCTTTGGATTTTGCAAGCGTTCAGTATAGCAAACTTCCAAGAGCAATCCTTTGTGAATATAATTGACACATTACTTACTGTTTTCGTCTGCATTCAATTGCTCTGTCTATCCTGAATTCAGGTAAACTAATGAATCCTTCTGCTTTTTCATCCTATTGAATGAGGAAAAATAAAATGTTGAAAATGAATATAGAATTAAAGAAAAGAGAAATGAGCAGCAGCTGTTTGGGGTTTGTACAAAGAACAACTACCCAGTCAAAGGAGGTACTGAATGTATTTTGCACAAACTGTTTTTCCTATGGAATGGATTCAATTCAATGTAAATAACGTCTGTGAGGTAACTAAACTGGTACTTTCTCAGAGGAGGCACAGCCATCCCAAACCCCCTTTTGCTGAAGATCACAGAAAACCTTTCAGCCCCAAACACAGCCCCTAAGCAGAGGAGAGCTCTGATTCTTCCCCATAAATCAGATTTTACAGCTGTTTGGTGGCTGTCTCTCCTGAAAGTCACAGCTGTCACACCCCGGCCCCTGAGGAGCTTCCTTGCTGAGGTCACCTCTGATTAAATGGGGAGGAAATAACCAGGAAATGCATCCTGTCACTTTCTGCTTCTTTTGAAGCAATTCAGGAGGAAAAGTAGAGAGACACTAAATTAACACCAGGCAGGTTTTGAAAGGTGTCAGCAAGGGCACAGTGAGTTAAGGCTTGGTTTGAGGCCCAGCCTGAGAGCCAGGGGGACACAGCCAGTGCCAGCCCCACAAACCCCTTCATCACCCACAGCCTGAACCCCTCCTGGGCTACAAAACCCACAAAACTGAGGGCGGTTTTCTGCTGAACACCTCCTGTGTGAGGGAATGGGAGAGGTGGAGTAAAAGCTCAGTAACCAAAGCAGGCTGCAGAGTTCAGCCCAAGCACTGGGGCTGCTGCTCACAAAGGGAAGAGCATCACTGAACCATTCTGGGCTTCTCCCCTCTCTTATTTCCCTACATTTATGCAGATTGCACCAGCATAGGCCCATTGGTTTTCAGGAAAATTTCACCAAGAACAGCATTTTGCACATGAGAAACTGCAAACTCCAGACCAATTCAGCAAAAAGCAAGAGGAACATTGATATAAAAATAACTTCTGGATAAAGAGATTTACAAATTCAGATTTTCACATCTGCTTCACAGAATGCTTAATTAACACAAATGGTTGCACTTTACACATCCCCCCTCACAAGTGAAACTGGGGAGAGCTGAGTGTGAACACTGTGTTAGTCCAAATAAATGTGTGGGAAAGGATTAACTACAGATATACTCATTTCTTAGACTGCCATGAACATCTGCTATTTTATTAAGCTTGAACATGGATTTGGAGATTTTTAAAAAATTTCAGTTGAAATATTTCCAGCCAGAGTGCCCAGACCTGGCAATTAAAGTGGCAGATCACCCGAGCACGCAGTGAAAACAGACTTTACAAGAACTGTAAAACTTCAGCTTTCATTTTGACTTCTTCCAAGCACGGCCCGTACTTACATTCTGGTTTGTGTACCAGTACAAGGAGGAATCCTTCAGGATGAACCAGTACTTTTTCCATTTCTGGGTGAAATAGCCCTTGGCGTCCTTTTTCTTCCAGAGCCAGCCCTCGCAGTCGCCGTGGCCCAGGTCCTTGCAGGAGATTCGCCTGCGGCTCACGCTGGACAGGGACCCCCCTGGGGCAGAACACAGGCAATGCTCCGGTTCATGCAATGAAAATGTTCATTTTTCAATGAACACATGAGTTCAAACCTTTCCCTCCCAGCCAAACCCTCTCCAGGCTCACAATGAACAATTTCCAAATTCAGCAGTGCCCTGTGGTTTTGGTTCCCCCGTGATCACAATGAAAAGTGCCTGGTTTATGCAATGCTTTATTTAATATCCAGAGGGTTAATTCCTCTAAGGGCTGCATTTTTTTCTGATTAAGATGGGCAGCATAATTTCAAAGTAAAAATGAATTTATTTAGCCTCAGTCAGGAACTCAGAGTGTGACACAATCTGTACACAGATGCAAACATTACTTTTTGCCATATATCTTCCCTTTAGCAGCAGAAGCTTTGTCAAATTATGGGAATTTTAAACCCAATTTTTATAAACAATAAAAAAGAAAGATTGCTCGCTTTCATAACAATGCACTTGCTTACATGATTTTTATCCTGAAGTGAGCAAAAATATGTTAACTTTACAGCATCCTGTTAAAGGCACAGCACCAGGAACAGGGTTAATTTTCGTTTTCTTGGAATTATTTCAATGAATCCTAATTGAAAGGCTTAGATTGCCTTGTAAATATTAATAAAACCAGGTTTTTAATAAATATGATTCAATTTATTTTCCTGAAAAAAACTCTGGAGAAAATTTCCTTAACATATCAGTTTTTTTCCTTGTGAAAAATCAAGTTTATGGTGCTACAAGAATTAAATTTGTCCTACAGCTGTGAAACAGGGTAGAAATTTAGAGAATATAAAACACCATCCTTTGCTCTGCAGTGTTCCACAGGCAAATTCTCATCAATTTGTTCATAGATGCTCTTTGCCTTCTTCCTAAAGAAAAGGAAATTCTTCCACCCATCCAAGCTATATTATACCCATAAAACATTTCTTTTAGTATTCTAATTTGGTATTTTCCTTTATTGCTTACTATCAAATTTAGAAACATTTGAATCAAGTTGAACTTTTGTTATTCTCAGAGAAGGAGCCTCATTTTCTGGTTTCAGAATGTTAACTGAAAGAAGTTACCTTTTGACCATTTCCTGCTTTTTACCCTGAGGGAAGCGTAATGGAATGACTGTAAGGAAAAAAATAAATAAATTATGAAGCACCAGTGCAAGTGGCAGCAGTAACATGTAAGAGCTTTCATTCACTCCCCTCTCCAGGGTTATCACAGCACCAGTGATCACAGGATCTCCCTCCTGTCATTTTCCTCTTACAACTTTCCTCAACATCATAAAGAAAACAACACTCTGCTAAATCTGCAAATTAAAACAGCTTTAAAAATATTAATTACAATTGCAATGAAAGCATCAAGGATTCTTTGCATGAAAGCTGTGGAGAGGTTTGAAAACTAAAGATATAAACTCCCACGAAGGAGCTGATAAACTGACTGGTATTTGAAGTTTG